CAGTGCTATGCCCTTGCCTCCTTCTCTCCACCGAGGAGGGCCTTCTACCCTCTTCGACAGGGCCCTCGCCACATCGCACCGGATCGCTCTGTTTTATGTTTCGGTGAATCCCTTGTACGCAGGGACGGCAGGGGCTTAACTGTGAAGGGTCGTCAGTGTTTGACACTTAGGTGATCATTGCTGTTTGAGTAGTTTGGTTTTCCTGGTAGACTTGCCTACAGACCAGTGACTATGCGTATTTAGACTTTTGGGAGGTATTGTTTATTATTCACAAATAAATTGGTATTTGAATTTGTCGGTCTTCTGTGAGTTTGGTGGGTGTGAGTTAGCTCTCTCCATGTTGAGCTGTATCTGGAGAACGATGACATTGCACTTCTGTCCCTCAAGGCTGTAGACCAGGCCTAGAACGTATCAGCCCTCTGATTCTCTGTGATTAAAAAAAAAAAAAATGTAGCAAAGACAGTGCACGTTTAAGGTCTTTGCCTGTGGTGGAACTGTGATGTGAAATTCCGTCATGGTAGCCGCGTGATAGGACGGCGGAGGGGAGTCTGATGGTAGAGCCGGGAAGCCAGACCGTGCCGGGTCCAAGGCCCTGGAAGCTGCTGCTGCCACTTCGCTTCTGGAGTTGCTGCGTCTTTCTGCTGCCCCTGAGCAGGAGGTCCTTGGTGGGTTTTGCACACGGAGTGTCTCTGCAGAGGGTCGGGGAAGTTTGCGTGGTGGTCCCCTCCCGCGCGGGGGCACAAGAAAGCGTGGAGGCTGAGAGGTGAGCTGGAGACCGGGTAGTGCGGCTTAATGTAGCAGCCGGCTGCTGAGCTCCTGCTGTGGGCCACGGCTGTGGAAGGTGCTGGAAGAACAGAGAGGAATAAGGTTTGCTCTCAGCCCTGGAGGAATTCAGCCTGCAAGGGGGTCTTCAAAAACAAAATGGTTTGGGACCATGTCCAGGGCGCAAGGAGGGGAAAGGTGTCGCAGAGGTTGCTTTGCTCTGCTCGTTCTTGAAGCACCTGCCCCGCTCCCAGGCCAGAAGGGGCAGCTCCACATGCCGCAGGCCACTTCCTCCCGCCACCTCCGCCACGGCCACACGGGTGCCGCGTGCCTGGGCGCAGGCGGGCAGCCTGAGTCTCCAGGAACGTGGACTAGAGGGGCCGGGCCTGCACAGGTGGCGCGGAGGAAGGTGGATTGTGGGGAGGGGACAGTTGGGGGCCCCAGGAAGGCCAGGCGGACACCACGGAGGCAGGATGGCCAGTCCCCTCACCCTCCCGGACCCGCCTGCTCCCTGGCTGTGTCCTGAGCTCCCGGCGTGTCTGCAGAGTGCCGTGTTTCCCGGCTCGCAGAGCTGGTTTATTTCCACTTTGCGAAATGTTCCTTAGGACACAAGGTCCGGGGGCGGCGGGGACGTCCCAGCAGGGCGTCTCCGCAGACAGGTGGGTGTCTGCCGTCCTCCGGGGTGAGGAAATGCTTTGCTGCCTGCACCGGGACTCATGGCCGAGGAATTCATGTGTTTTCTTACTTTTTAAACACCTTGATCTTAGGTTTATATAAAGTTTTCCCAGCTGAGCTGTGAGGGCAGAAGGCAGCACTTTATTTCACGTTAGTTTTTGTTCACAGGTCGGCCTTAAGGGGGCAGAGCGGAATATTCCTGAAGAGCCAGAGCTGGCAGCTGGGAGGTGAGAGGACACCAAGGTAGGTAATGGCCTCGGCAGAAAGTTGTGAGTCTCCTTTGTGGTCAGACACCTGTAGCTAGAGCTTTTCTTCACAAATGTTCAAATTCTTGGAAGAAATTGTGTCTGAGTTTGAGGCAGGAGGACGTCCCCTTTACACGGTTTCCCATTAGTACGAGGCCATTCGATGAGTCACACTTGCTCTTCTCCTCTCTAGCTGGAACCTCCTACGTGCCCTCCGTGCAGTTAGTTCCGCCCAACTTTGCTTCGGTGATAACCCCCTAGATCTTGAACCATAAGATTTCAATTTTCACATTGTTTTAGTATCTTACATATACACCCACCTATATTGGGAGGAGAGATGTAATATTCTAAGAATCTGGATTTTTTTGTTGTAGTTTTGTTATTCCTAATTTTGCATTTTGATGGAAAAGTAGTAGTATATACAAGTCTTATTTTTTGCGTTTGTTTTCCTCGTGGGTTAGCATTTGGTTAGTTAGGAAAGAAGGCACTTGTACACTGTTAAAAAAATTATGCCAGGAACTTCCACAGATGACGGTGTAACGTGGTATCTCGTCTTTACGTTCTTGGAAGAAATGACTGGTTGGGTCGCTTGGTTAGAATCGTGCACTCTTGAGCGGTCTCGGCCATCGTGAGCACCTTGGTACCACATCAGGTCAGGGGCGTGTCCCGTCAGCCACCTGCCTCAGCCGGGACTGGGCTGTGTAGTGAGATGCTGAGCAGGGACCCTGGGAGAGAGTGACACGACACTCCCTCGGCTCTAGCGTCTGGAACCTCGGAGGGGCATTCGTGGGCAGTGGGGGAAGAGTGGACATACTTGGGACCGACAGTCCTGACGCTGAACGCATTTCGGAGGATTTGGAAGTCACTCCAGAGGCTTGTGGCCTTCTGTGTGGCAGATTGATCGCGACAGGAGGGACCTCTTGCGGCCAAACTTTGTTGCTCTTGATACTTCATATTTTAGGAAATCTCAGCCCGGGTAGTTGACGAAGAAAAATTACCCCAGAGGAGTGTTTAGTTGTTCTCACGTTATGAAGTATTTGGTTTGCGTAGTTAATGAAATTTACAGTGTTTCCTCTTCACGGTCCATTTTGGCATTCTTGTCGAAGGAGGTACGTTTCTGTGAACAGAACTCCGGTATATGGCTTTACCAGTAGGAGATGAGATGGGCCAACTTCAGCATTTTCTGTGTTATTTGGGGAAAACATTCCTTTAAGGCCAGAGCAGCTTCATTAGTGATCTGGTGGCTGTGCACAGCTCGCTGCTTGAGAGACCATCCGTGTGGTGGGGCATTTGGGAACCCCACTGCCCAATCATCTCCTCAGTTTTCTCTCCTATTTCTTTGTGACTTTGTTGGTTTGTAGTTCTGATTACACATTCACATCTGTATCAGTTTATATGTATTCAACACGTACCTATCTGTATTCAGCAGGCTTTCTGTTACTCTATGTGTCTTTTATCACAGTATGCTGTCACTCCTATAATGTGTGCTGTTGCCGTGGCTAATTGGTTTTCTCCTGCGTAGCTCGTTTTCACTCTGCAGAACTTGATTGAGCTCAAATTACATTGCAGTGGAGTGGGAGGGAATTCGCTCGTTCCTCCTTAAGCTTATGCCTATTTTTGATGCTTTTTTGGGGGGATTTTCTTAGTTTCAGGAATCTTTTTTTTTCCCTATTTTAATGGGACTTCTAAAGAGGGCCCATTCCCAGAAATGTTCAGTATATTTTGGATTAAAGTCATTTGTCTTTTATGTAATAAATGCTATGTCCTTGTGTTTGTGCGTATGAGTTCCTGTTAATTTAGTTGCAGTCTCTTGTGATCTCTTTGATATCTTGTCCGTTGCAGACAGCACACGGCTGGATCTGGCGTCAGCGGTCCCCAAGCCTAGTCTAGGACCAAGTTCATCAGCCTTGGTAGTGCCTGACTTTTGTCTGTCTCGGCAGGGTCATTTCTCATCACGGGCACACACAGACCAGTTCATATGGCATTTAGAATTGTTCTTTAGGGGCGCCTGGGTAGCGCTGTCGCCCTGACAGAGCTCAGAGCTCTGATTTCAGCTCAGGCCACGATCTCACGGTTCGTGAGTTTGAGCCCCACGTCTGGCTCTGTGCTGACAGCTCGGAGCCTGGAGCCTGCTTCGGATTCTGTGTCTCCCTCTCTCTCTGCGCCTTCCTCACTCATGCTCTGTCTCTCTCTCTCAAAAGGAAACATTAAAAAAATTAAAGAAAGAAAGAACGAAAGAATTGTTTTGTTAAATGGCCTTCTCTTTTCTTGGGTACAATTAATGAACTCCTCTGTGAATCCGTAGCATGTGTCATGGTACCTGGAACATAGTAAGGGCTTTGTAAATGCTTGCTGCGTGGGTACTTACAAGAGCGAGTTGTGTTGGACTCTTTGTTCGGCCGTAGGGAGCAGGGCAAAGGTATTGGTGCCCCGGTGACCTCAGTAAGACAGAGGCGTCCTGCTCTGTTGTCACTTAAGAAAGCCAGTTCTGGGGCGCCTGGGTGGCTCAGTTGGTTCGGCTCACGTTGTGACCTCAAGCCCCGGGTCGGGCTCTGTGCTGACAGCTGTGCTTTGGATTCTGTGTTTCCCTTTCTCTCTCTGCCCCTCTCCCACTCGTGCTCTGTTCCTCTGTCTCTCAAAAATAAATGTTAAAAAAGAAATCTGAAAAACAAAAAAGAAAACCAGTTTCTCGGGTGTGGGGAGTACCTGTTTTATAAAAATACATGTTTTGTATATTATTTATTCACAATATCATTTATGTGAAGGTGTATTACAGCTTAGTTTTGTCTCAAATGGATTGTAAGCTCTTTTTGGCCAAGGCAGTGTCTTAATACTGCCTCTGTTTCTTCTACTCTGTCTCGGCGTGGGTGGTGGGCCTCTGCACTGGCTCGATTTGAAGAAAGCAGGGAAGTAAACACACCTCTCAGCTGTTACATGAATTAAAAGTCTGTCTGTCACTGTGCTGGGCGAGGAGCTTTTTTAGGGCGCAGAGCATATTGTGTTTATCTCTGTATCCACAACATGTAGCACAGTGCCTGAATTTTTGTAGGAATTTGATAGCTCTTGGTAGTTATGTTGACTAATCTCTTTAGAAGAAAAGGACTTTATGAGCTGCAGATGTTAATGAGATTATAAATGGATTGGATCCATGGGTTACATGCGTTTGAGACATTACTGTTAGTTGAATGCATAATTGTCCAGCTCTGACGTCCTTAGATGTCTGTCTTCATTCAGACTCCGTGTGTTCCTTTAACTTAACTAAGCAAAGCACGCCTCTCTCCCTCCCCTCCCCCCTCCCCCCCTCCCCCGCAGGCTGCCATGGCTGCCGTTGACAGCTTCTACCTCTTGTATCGGGAGATCGCCAGGTCCTGCAATTGCTACATGGAAGCTCTGGCCTTGGTTGGAGCCTGGTATACAGCCCGAAAAAGCATCACCGTCGTCTGTGACTTTTACAGCCTGATCAGACTGCATTTCATCCCACGCCTGGTGAGCAGAGCAGATCTGATCAAGCAATACGGAAGATGGGCAGTCGTGAGTGGTAAGAAATGTTCTAATGGTAACAGTATAAGCTTTTCTGTTTGTGTTTTAAGTCGGATGCCGTGCTCGAGGAGTTACTGAATTCTGTGGGAAGTTTTCACGGGAGCATAGTTCCGTTGTGATCACGTTCACATTTTCTTACTGCCCTCCTCTCGGAAGGATTGTCCTGTGACGTCTGCCTCTCCTGCTCTCCTGTGCCCAGTCCTGCTCACCTTCCTACCTCTTGCTTTTCCTTTGGCTCTGTTCTGAAATTGTCCTTAGAAACTGTCACCACTTTCAGAAATGCTTCCCTTAAGTTAAATTTCATTTTCATTTATCAGTTTCCCAGGAAAGTACCTCCCAGCACTCGTTCAAGCCAGATATAAGCTTGAAAACCATTCTCTGCCGTGTTTCACAATCAGCTTGGTGGACGTGAAATCGCCCTTCTGGGGTTTATTTCCAGTGTGAACCCTTCTCTGCTTAACCCCGGAAATGGGGTATTTAAGGTTCCCTGTGAAGGTTGCACCCGAGACGATCGTGCTCACGTGCTGTGACTTGGGTTGCAGGTGCCACGGACGGGATCGGGAGAGCCTATGCAGAAGAGCTAGCAAGCCGTGGTCTCAACATCATCCTGATTAGTCGCAACCAAGACAAGTTGCAGATGCTGGCTAAGGACATCGCCGACACCTACAACGTGGAGACCGATATCATAGTGGCGGACTTCAGCAGCGGCCGGGAGATCTACGACCCGATTCGAGAAGCCTTGAAAGACAGAGACATCGGCATCTTGGTGAATAACGTGGGCGTGTTTTATCCCTACCCCCAGTATTTTACTCAGGTCTCCGAGGACAAACTCTGGGATATCATAAATGTAAACATTGCCGCGGCCAGTTTGATGGTCCACATAGTGTTACCAGGAATGGTGGAGAGAAAGAAGGGCGCTGTTGTCACCATCTCTTCTGGCTCCTGCTGCAAGCCGACTCCCCAGCTGGCTGCGTTTTCTGCTTCTAAGGTAATGTCTTCCCGATTGGAAAATGGCATCAGAAGGCAATAGGACCTTTATTACGTGGTTTGGTCCGGTTTGCTGAGCTCTTTGTCGGCAGCTCGCGTTGACTGTATTTTTTTCCTGAAATGGTAGTAAGCAAGCCTTTTTCCCCTCCTGAATTTTCTTCCACCTTCCCCCCGAATTAAGTCTTGACCCCTGCTCCGTTTTAACAGGCTTATTTAGACCACTTCAGCAGAGCACTGCAGTACGAGTATGCTTCTAAAGGAATCTTCGTACAGAGTCTAATCCCGTTCTACGTGGCTACCAACGTGACCGCACCCGGCAGCTTTCTGCACAAGTGCCCGTGGTTGGTGCCTTCGCCCAAAGTATACGCACACCATGCTGTTTCTACCCTTGGCATTTCGAAAAGGACCACAGGATACTGGTCCCATTCTATCCAGGTAACAGTATGCGCTCGGCTCCTGTAATTAGGTTAATGCATCCTGAACCTCTCTAAATGATACATGGCAATCTGACTGAGGCCATGTCTCACCGCGGAAACGTGAGAATTGCAAATTCTGATTCTTAAACCTGACACTCTTAGTGGTTCTGGTTAAGTCACTAAATTCCCTTTTGTGAAGTTACTATTTTATCAAGAACGTCGAATAGTTTCATCTGTGTGATCCCTAAGAGATGAGATACGCTGCTTTCATATAGGGAGATGGTAGCAGTGTAAACATACTAAGTATTTACGTGGGGATTCCAAAGTCAAACAGATTCTAGTAATGATTGAGAGGGTGCCTCTAAATCAGCAGTGTAACCCACGAACGCGAAACCAAGGTCGGTCTGTATCTCACATAACCATCGAGCCAGCTAATGCCCTAGCGTATTCTGGAACTCATTTGTTCAAGAAGCATAGACTCTACCGTTGAGTTTCCTGTTCAGGCGTGACAGAGGTGTGGGTCTTTGGTAGTTGAAGGAGTAACTTGGATATTTGAAAATTTGGTTCCAAGCATTCGGTAGAGAGCTCGTGATTTGTTAGAGCAGATTGTGGCGGAATTGGTAGGCGCGCCCTAGTTTAGAATGGTTGCTCTTTGGTTTGTAGTTTCTTGGTTGCCAAGCAAATGTTTTTGAGACTGTTTGTGCGTAAAGATCGTTAAATTTGTCATCACCAAATTCTTAGGTAAGTAAATCAACAATTTTTACTTTTATCGAAAGATTTGGCGAAAAGTTTCTTGAGTAAAAAGGAGTTTTACTTACGTGGTTGTTTCCAGGCCCTTCGTTCCTGGAGAAAAGCAGAGAAAGGCAAAACAGCAGTTTTCGAGGCCAGCGAACCAACGTTGAAGTTATGTGAAAAATGAAGACCTATCCAGGACGGGATGGGGCTGAGCCGTGGCAGATGTTTTGACTGCATTTAGAAAATACCCACATTTTAGTGATAATTAGTTCACGTTGATGAACTCTTCTTGAGAATGTATATTTTTCTGCCCAGAAGATCTGTTAATTCCTAGAGTAGCTTTTTGTACAGAGCTGTTAAAACTTTACGTGTTTGTCTGTTTTCGTTTCTATTTTACTCAGATTATTTTGAGCATTATCACTGTTTTCTTCTTTTTAAAATTCTTTTATTTTTTTTTTTGAGAGAAAGGGAGCGCGCGAGCGAGCCTGCACACGTGAGCAGGGAGGGGCAGGGGTAGAGGGCACCTTAAGCAGACTCCGTGCTCCGCGCGAAGCCCGACGTGGGGCTCAGTCTCATGACAGAGAGATCATGACCTGAGCCAAAATCAGGAGGCGGACACTCATCCAGCTGAGCCACCCAGGTGCCCCACTTGTTTTGTTTTCAATTTTACAACAAAGATTTGATCGTTCATCACTGTTTTGTCCATAGTCGGATTCTCGGATAGCTTTAGGCGCTGTGATTTTTCTTTCTAATCATCATCTCTTCCGAATACGGTTTTCTCGGGCCGCAAAGATCAAATTTTGTGAAGATTTGCTTCCTCTGTCAATTTTTAGTGCCTGAGGAATTGACTGGGTGAAGTTTGATGTGCCCCACGTACCAACCGTATAAAACGTTATCTGTGCTATTTGTCTCGGTTAGTTGTCCACATTTCGAATGGAGCAAGAGTAGATACACCGTGTTGGGTTTAGAATCTTGGAAATCCTTGATGACGTCGATGAAGGCAGTTTCGGGATCTTTCTGAGACCCGTGGGTTGCCGTGAGCGGCGGGGAGGGACACGGAAAACGCACGCGCCACAGATGCGGCGGCAGGTGGATTGGGCCCGAGGAGGGAGGTGTATTTGTCAGTCCGTTTATGGCAGCAGAGATGTGGCTGTTCGTGAGTGCTGGGGGGAAGGGCTGTGTGGAGAAGAGTGGCCTACAGATGGGAGAGAAGGCGTGGTACCGGAAGCGAGGGCAGGACCGAGAGCGCAGAGGAGGGGAGGTGACGTGGGCCTGGGGACAGTGAGGAAGGCGAGGAGGCCATGGAGGCGAGGAGGGGCTGCTGTCTGGTGGCTCCTGTGAGGGACTCGGAGACCGAGGAGGTATGGGGGTGGGGTGGGGGGGTGCTGCTTGCGGGTGAGTGACCCTTGTGGGACCCGCTCTCTGGACAGCCTCTGGAGTCATTTCACCACCCTTTACTGAGAATGCAGTGTATTCAGCGATGGCTGCTAAGTGTATAAAAGAGGCTCTTTCTGATGCGCTTGCACAGAGGTCGGGGTGGGGGGCGGCGGGGGGAGGTGTCCTCACTCCTTCCCCGGGCCGCAGCCCTTGCGGGTGTCCACAGAACACTGTCCGACACGGGAGCCGCGTTCGCTCGCGGCCGCACCTTTTCTGCGTTCTTGCCGTCCATGGAGTTGAACGATTGCCTCTTCCCTGCGTTACACTGGTTGTCTTAATGATTTGCGAGCAAAAAAATAGAAAAAAACCGATTTGGACTTAAAACAGCTCGAAAGGAGTCCGGTGCCTTTCCTTTGATTGCTAACTAGTGTTCAGCGTTGATTCGGGAGCACTTCTCATTCGCAGAAGCGGCACCAGGCGGTATTGTCTGCTTCGGAACACAGAGCGAGGCCGACGGAAAAGCTGATAGCTTTCTGTCTGTGGGTCTTGACGTGAAGGCCAGAGACACTCTGGTATGTGTTAGGCTGGAAAAGCCATTAAGTCGACAAGTTGACCAGAAAGGGTCTTGCTTAGGGGCCCGGGGGCTGTGCTCCTGGTGGTCCGCTGACCGAGCCACGGGGACCGGCAGGCGGGGTGGGGCATCTGGGCTCTCTCTGCTCGGAATTTCTCCCCACAGTGGGCGTATTTGTTCACGCGTGCCGTGCGTCTGTGGCTATTGGAAAAAGAAGACGTGGCGTTTAGAGGAGAGGGGAGCTGGGGGGCGGTGAGGAGGCCCTGGAATTGCGTCTCGAGATGTGGTGAGGGGCCAGGGGAGGCAGGCCGGCAGCCGTGTCAGAGGTCACGGCCCCCCTTGCCCAGCCCAAGTTCCCGTGCCGGTTGCCGGCCGGGAAGGGGACTGCACACCGCACGGCTTCGGTGCTGCTGTGTTTCTTCCTTTGGAATAACTCTGGCGCGAGGATCCAGCCCGGGTTCTTTGGGCTCTTTTCCACCTTGGCTCTTCCCAGTTCTTACCCAGGCCCCACCCGCGCCGGTCTCTGAAGAACACGGCATCGGCGTTTTCATTGCTGATGCAGATTTGCAACCAGCCGAACACGCCCGTTTGCTATTGAGTTTCTCCTCCGGCTCCGGCTCCCCACGTCTTACTGAACAGCAGTCCCTGCGGGGACTACACTGCGTCCGGATCGGTTACTGTTGGCTTTTGTCCCAGGAGAAAAGCAGCTCCTTTCCTTGACCTAGACAGTGGGTCAGGGTCTGAACATGCACAGAGCCTTCCAGAGCCCGAGACCCAACCCTCCCTTCCCTCCTTCCCCGCCCCCCCAGACACACTCACACTCACTCCCCTTGTAAACAAGTAGGTGGGTCGCCCCTTTAGTTTCTAATCTGTCAGTACACAGGGGATGAAGTTCTTTCCTCTTCCAGTAGCTCTTTTCACCAAGCTCTTTCCATGCTGCTACCCAGGGTGCTAGGACCCCGCTCGGATAAGTTGGAGATGGTGTGCCCGTGACGTCTCCACATGCAGCACGTCAGGACGGTGGCACAGTGCACCCTGATGCTGGTCCCCTTGCGGTAGACAGTGGTCAGGGGTGGAAATTAAAAACGAAGATTCTTAGGTGTTCATCCCTCCTTACTGGATACATACTGCAAAAACGCATCGTAGTCCACCCTTACCAGAGGGGGCCTGAAGCCAGAGATGGTGCCGAGCCCTGTAGAGACCATGTCTTTTCCTGTATGTCCGTACTTACGATAAAATTTAATTGATAAATTAGGCACAGTAAGAGATTCACAACAATAGTGATGAAATAGAACAGTTATAACAACACTGTAATAAAAGTTACGTGACCCTGGTGTCTCTCTCTGTCTCTCAAAATACGTTACTGTCCTGCACTCGCCCTTCTCGTGATGACGTACGAATGCGGTCTCTCCGAAAATACCTTGCTGTTTGGTTCGCAGCCTTCTTGTTGTTGTTGTGTGTCTCTGTGATGAGAGGGAGTGAGGTGAGTGACGTAGCATTAGGCTGCTGTTAACAGGGTGAAAAGTCAGGAGATCGTCTGCTTCTGGACCAAACTTGACCTTGACCGTGGATAACTGAAACCATGGAAAGCAGACCCGGGGCGGCAGGGGCACTGCTGTACTTGGAAGGGGGGCTCCACTTCTGGAGTCTGCCCCAGGCTGCTGTGTGTTTGAGTGCGTCCCTATTCCTGGCGTCCTCTTGGACTTCCTGGAGCTGACTTCCTGGATCTCCTTGGATTTAGAACCTTTTGCTTTAGAGCAGCAGCTCCTGGGAGGTGGATCCAGGTATTTTCCCCACAAAATCCTGCTTTGCAAAGAGGTCCAGAGAGACCTTAGTTGCGTCCCCAGAAAGTTTCCCGTGGCTCCTGGCCGGATACTGGGCTCCTGTCTGTGAGGCGGTGGGCTGGTGCTTCTCTGGAACCTGCAGTGGACATCCGTGGCTCCACGACTGTCATCCCACAGGTCATGATACTGGGCCCCCCTCCTGTTCGTTGTGGCCTCCCCACAGTTGTACAGGTACCCCGGGTCTGGGGTGACCTCTGTTATTTTAGTTCTGTTCAAGGCTAGAATTTTAGCACTTGCCAGCCGTCTGCTCCTCTCTCTGTCTTCCTTTTCCTTTTCTTTTCCCTTCTTCAGGGGCCAAGTGTCCTGTGCTCTACCAGCCGAGCCCGCCAGGCCTCCCATTCATCTCCTTCCCTACCGTACTAGTAGAACTTCCACTCAGCGCAGTCCTGGACGAACTTGTCAGCGTAGCGCGGAGTTTTTGTCCACCTTGGCACGGGTGGCATTCGGCGTTGGATAATCCCTTGTTGTGGGGCTTTCCTGGGCATCCCTGGCCTCTACCCACTGGATGCCAGTAGCACCGGCACCCCAGTTGTGACAACCAGGAATGTTTCTGGACATCGCGTTATATCCCCTTGGGTGGCAAAATGGCGGGGGTGGGAGTCCCCGGGACAGAGCGGCATCGGTAGGATTCTCCCCCGGGGTGCCCAGGCCGTCGTCCTCACAGCTCAGGTCTGTCCCGCGGTCCCGGTGTTTTTGACTCCGTTCTCTTGTTGCATTTCGCCCCATCCTGCCCCTCAAACCTTTTCCCACACAGTACTAGTCACCGATGCATTTATCCGTTTCAACTGCCTTTCGTTCCTGGAGTGGTCTTGTCCTTCTCAACCAAATGACCACCCTGTTCGTCTCGTGTTAAGTAAAGATGGGCTCACACTCCTTCCTGCATGTACGTCTGTCCAACCTCATTGGCGGGGGTGGGGGGGTTGGCGGGTGGTGAGTGTACTTGAATTCCCACGGAGTCCAGCACAGGTTCGTATACAAAACTAGGCGTTTGGTACAAGAGCACCTAAGGGCTTTTTCTTTTTTTCGTATTTAATTTGATTGGTGGTATTTGTTGCATTGAGTCATATACTGACATTGAAGTGTCTGTGCTTTGCATTCTAACCTTCTAACCTTTTTCTCTTTTCTTTTTAGTTCCTTTTTGCACAGTATATGCCTGAATGGCTCTGGGTGTGGGGAGCAAATGTTCTCAATCGCTCTTTGCGTAAGGAGGCCTTATCCTGCAAAGCGTGAAGCCGCGTGAAGGTTGGGAACTTTTGCCAGCTCGCGGGAGCCTGCAGTATTCTGACGTTTGGAAGAACACATTTACCTTCTGTGTTTTCTTTTATTACTGAGTATTTAGCATACTGTTGACTCATCGTCTGCAAAGCGTACGTAATACTTTCAGAGAATGCTGTGGAGAAACCTCAAGGGCCACATCACACGGATGGTACAGAAGTAAACAACGACTGAGGCACGAGAACTGGTTGGGGGAACCTAAATTTTGATGCTTTTTTTTTTTTTTCCTCTAAGCTGTCCAAAAGCCATGCGATTTACGTTGTTCTATGAGCTGCAGCAATCTTGATAGTGAAATATAATACGACTTGTCAGCTCTCGTCGTTTCGAATGTTTTTTTTTTTTAAGGGAAATTATCTATTTCAGTAGATGAATTATAGTATTGATTTTCAAATGTTCATCAGGAAAGACTATTGAAAGGTGTGATTTTGTAAGACTGCTGGTGTAATTAGCAGTAGAACCCTGTATCATATTGTATAGCTCTGTTTGTGTGTGAAAATGCTACACTTCAGGCGGCATTTCACTAGAGGCCATGTGCGTATGTGTGTCGTGTACATCCAGACAACTTTATTTATGGTTAAGTTACTTTGGAAAATACGTCTTGTTAAGATGGCCTAACGTGGAACCTTATGGGGTATTATGATTCTAGATTACTCCTCTTCATACTAAATAAGCCCACCCAATTTTGTGCTATAGGCTTGCCGTGTATAATATCATACATTCTGTTGTTGCTTTTTTTTTTTAAATCTGTGAAATTAATTCATTACTAGATTTGGACCTATAACGGTTGACCCTCCGTCATCTCTTGATTTATAATTGCTGTGGATAAGTAGTGATTTCTCAGCCTCTGCCCCATTTTATAACTGAAGTTTAGCCCTTTAGAGCTTATATCTGGTTTTCATATCCTGTTCCATGTAATATTCTCTTATAGTGGCATCATTGGAGTAAACGTCAAGTACTTACGGCATTGTCGTTAACACATGGATAAATTATGTGTGTGATAATGATGTATGTATTAGAAGCTTGTTCTTGGTTCGTGTAATGAGTTTACACGTTATAGTGAACGCTCTCACTGATGTGAAGATCGTTAGGCACAACCCCCCACGATAGGAGTTGGCGCTGAAACCTACTGTGAAATAAATGTTTTTGGCTCGGATCTTACAAAGCCAGACATTTCTGAGGACCGCTCTCTAGTGCTTTGGCAACCATAGATCGCCATGTGGACGTGACGGTACGTGCCAGTTAAGAATTGGGGGTCTGTGATTGTGACGGTGATGCAGAAACTAGTAAATAGGTTGAAATCAGGACCTCTACGGAATTGTTTTCGCCTGAGATGGTACTCCATTATGAGTCAGGCCAGAGCACGCTTCGGTGTCTTACCCACGATTTCGCCAGTGCTGTTGCCTCAGTATTTCCAGATCTGACACGGACTCAGAAGATCAGTGATTGAGTTCAGAAGCTCTTCCACTGACAGACCAGGCCTTCGTTACACAAAAGGAAGACCTTCACACGTGAAAACTTAGTAGCGGGATCACGCGGCACTGAGCACGTTGAGGGAGTTAGCGTGGATGCCTTCGTCACAGCTGGCATTTTCCCTACCCAGCAGTTAACATACGGTCATTAAGACTAGAACAGAGTTTGCTTTCATGCCACATTGACCTGAAGTTTTCATTGACGTGTAGTAAGAAGCAGCAGCTTGATGTAAAAACACCCCGTTTATATCTAAGCTGTTACGTGGTGAGGTATTGAGTCGCCGTTATGTGATGAGAACAAGTAAATCATGTCCGTGATGTTGTAAAATTCTCTACTTGGCAGGACGTTTGTAAGACAGCTGCTGCAAAGCTTGTGAAAGATCAGAATGAAGAATGTTCCTTAGGTTTCTTCTTCGATAAAATACGTTTTCCCAGAGCTCATTTGAGAATCAGAATTGGGCCCACTGCGGATGGGATTTCTTAGGAAGAATGTGGGAACTTAAGAACCTTTGAAATAATCTGTGAACTGAAAATTTAACAATAAAAACTGTTGCTTCTCCTTCCATTGGAAGAGGTTTTGCTCTGAGTAATTGTATTTGGAATGAAAGATTTTTCCCCCATAGGAACAATTCCCTTAAAATTACCGAAAAATAATGGAGTCTGTGAACACCTGTGGTAGTAATTCATTAAAAGCTGCTAATTCAGCAAGAAAATGGTCCATAACCACGTGTCTGCTAAGTCTTTCAAAACGAGTAAGTTGATGTTTTGCTCTCATTCTCCTGGTAGGTTGAGTAGACGGAGCTAGGTTTTGATCATTGACTTTGGCGACATGGAGATCACTACTGGTTTTGCTCCGAGCCATTTTGTCTGGATGAAAGATAGATTGTAGTGGGTTCAAGGAGCAGAAAGAAAAAGGGAGACAGCAAGGAGAGACAGTTCTGTTTTCTTTGTTTTTTTTGAATGTTTTTAATCTTTATTTATTTTTGAGAGAGAGTGCAAGCGGGGGAGGAACAGAGAGAGAGGGAGACACAGAA